TGTGGGGGGGGGGGCGGAGAGGGGGAGGAACGGAGGAGGGGCTGTACTCACTCCAGAGGCGGCCCCAGCCTGTGACGTAGCAGGGGTAGTCTTGAGGCAGCAGGGAGTCCACCTCAGGCAGGCAGGCCACCTGGATGGTGTTGCTCAGTTGCACGGGCTCTGCCAGCTTGATGAGAGCGATGTCATTGCTGGAGGCCAAAGTGGAGGTGGTGAGTGCGTAGGAGGGCCTTGGCTGCACAAGTCAGTGCTAAGCAGCCCAGACTGTTAGCTGGGAGTCAAGCCTAGGGTGACCGGGAGTCCTCCATGAATATCCTAGATCGCCCGTTCCTTACTGGACAAACGATCCGCCTTCTAACGCCACGGCCCGCCCCTTTAGAGGAGGCGTCTGCCTTTGGGTCCCGTAGGGCTCTACAGTGGGGAGGCAGGAGCTTTCCAAGCCACTGCAGACTATGTATCAGCCAGAAACTAGAGCCAATTGGAAATAATCAAAGAGGGGCCCTGGCAGATGCGATTTTTAATATTTTCATGTTAACAGAATGAAAGTTGGTGACCCTAGACAGACCTGGTTTGATGCCCCGTTCTGCCACATACTGGGCTGTGTGACCTGGGGCGTATTTCTTAACCTCTCTGAGTCTTGGGTCCTTGTCTAGGGCTGTCGGGAAGATTAAACAAATCATGGCATATAAAGTGCTTATTGCAATGTGGGCATGCCGTAGGCACTCCATAAAGGTGAGTCCTGGCTCAGAGACTTCAGGCAAGACATCGTGGGGGCCTTGGGGTTTTTATTCCCTGTGTACCCTCTGGGAACACTTGGCCTATGAGGGAGATGGGAAGGGAGTCGGTCTCCACTTAGCATTTCCCCATTTTGCATAAAGGGGCCATCTGCTGGCTGTTCAGCGGGGAAGGGGCAGGGGGAAAGACCGTAGACTTTGGAGCTGGGCGGACATTGGTTCAGGTTTCACTGCATGGCTTTGGGGAAGCCATCTAGCTCTCTGGGCCTCAGCTTCCCTTTCTGTGAAATGGGAACAATGGTCCAGGGACAGGGTAGGGGCAGACTCTGCAGCTCAATGTCAGGGGACCCCCTCCTTCCCTGCGCGCTTCCCCCCTGGGGCCGTAAGACGGTCAGCACTCACCGCACCAGGAAGGAGTTCCACTTCTCATGGACAACGATGGAGTCCACATCTGCAAACACGGAGCCTTCCTCATCCTCCACCACCAGGTTGTTCTTCCCCAGGGCCACGCGGTAGGTCAGGGTGTTGCTGAGCAGAGGCGGGGGGGGCTGGGTCAGCGTGGCTTCCTACCCTCGCTGGCCAGTGGTGTAGGGAGGGAACTCAGGACTTTGGTGACCCAGCCCTGTGGCCACCGTAGGAATCGTTTGCAGGAGTGGGGGTGGGGGGGGGGAGAGACACTCTGCACTGACCACAGAGAGACAATCTGCACTGACCCTTCCCAGGGCTCAGGGTAAGGACCCTGCTCTTGGAGTCAAGTCTATCTTGATTCCTAGGTGGGTGGTCTCGGGCCTCAGTTCCCTCATCCGTGTGGCGGAAGACAGTTTTGGAATCACCTCCCAGGGCGGCTGCGAGGTAAGCTAGTCCAAGTCACCACTGCTTCCTGCCCATAGGATCTCCTCTCTCACCCCCCTCCTGCCCCCCTCACACACTCTACTCCTGCCGCACCCGCTTCCTCGTTATTTCCCCAGCCTACCAAGTAGACTCCCTCCTCCCGGTCTTTGTACTGGCTGATCCCTCTGCCCGGGAACCTTTCCCTTACTTCCTTCAGGCCTTTGCTCAGATACCCCCTTTTCAGAGAGATCTTTCCCTGGCCACCTCATCTAAAATAGGACCCCTTGTACTTTTTATCCTGCCTTATTTTTCTTCACTGCCCCCGGATATGTTATCTATTTACTTCTTTAATGGCCTGTTGCTCTTTTGCTGGAGTCTAAGCTCCCTGAGAGCACAGAAGTTGTCCTTGCTGCTGTGTTCCCTGGCACATTGGGGGTGCACAATAAATACGTGTTGAATGAGTAAGTGAACAGCTGAGTTACTGGATGTAAGTAGCTTATTCAGCCCAGTGCCTGGAGTGTGTAGTAGGTGCTCAATAGAAGCAGCTTCTCAGGCTCCCACCCCTGGGCGCCGACCCCATTCACCTGATGCAGTGGGCAGCTGTGAGGACGTAGTTATTGGCAATCAGGGTGCCGCCACATGTATGCCTCCATTTGCCATTCTTGAGGTACTGGAGAGAGATCTGAAGCGAGGCGCGGGAGGGCCATGCATCAGCCCCGGGACCCGCACCCCGCCACCCTCTCCAGCCCGCCTCCCACCCCTGCAGCGGCATGCTTACCTGCCAGGGCCAGCTGTGGGGCCTGGCATTGTCTCCTCCCACCACTCGGGCTGATAGGTTGGGCTGGAAGTGGGGGACCCCGCAGCTGGAGGCTGGGGGACCCAGGAAAGGAAGCGCACAGGTGAGAGGGGCCGGCATCCCCAGCGGGGAAGGGGCAGGGGGAAAGACCATAGACTTTGGGGCTGGGCGGACATTGGTTCAGGTTTCACTGCACGGCTTTGGGGAAGCCATCCAGCTCTCTGGGCCTCAGTTTCCCTTTCTGTGAAATGGGAAGAATGGTGCTAACCTGGTGAGTTTGTCCTGAAGAATTAGACAATGCATAGGAAGAGTTTGGTGAAAGGCCTGGAACAGAGTGAATGTTGAACACATTGAAGGAAATACAAAAGTAGGGGTGTGTGCACGCCAAGGTCTACCTGCATCCTTCACCCTTACCTGTGGTCCCTTTTTAGACCACAGCATAATGGGGGTATGCAAGCACTGAATCCAGGGGTCCAGACTGTCAGAGCTGGGGAGCCGTGTGGAGAGGTCAAGAGCATATGCTCGGCATGGAGACAGACCCGGACTCAAATTCCAGCTTTACCACTAACCAGTCGTGTGATCTTAGGCAAGATACCGAGCCTCACTGAGCCTCGTTCCTATCTGTAAAATGGAGATATTGATAGGCCCTGACTCTCAAGGATCATATCCGCTCCTGAATGTAAAGGGCTTAACACAGTGCCCGGCACGTAGTAACCATGCAACAAACAGGAGCTGCTATTATTATTTATGACTGTTGTTGTTGTTAGCTGGAAGGACTCTTAATCAAGTGCTCTCATTTGTCAAAAGGGTCAGTGAGATTTAAAGAGGTAAAGGGGCTTGTCAAGGTCCCGCTGAGAGTAAGTGACATTCAAGCCAAGTGCCTTGATTCCTATCTGGGAGGAGGCCCCCAAAACGGGTGAGCACAAGCATCAATCCCCAAGGCAGAGATGCAACACTAGGAAAGCTAGGCCTTTATGGTCCCTGGAGTGAGCCCAGGGTGGGTAGTTACTGTGTCCCCAGGCCACATCCTTAGCCCTGTTCTGCAGATATGGAAACAGAGTTGCTAAGCAGGTAAGTGGCTTAGCTGACATGCAGCTGGTCACCCCAAAACTCCTTTTCTGGGCCCCCTGCTCCTCTCCTTGTCCCCGGGAGACAGCTGGCCGCAGCTGGTTCCCAACCCACAGCTTACCACAGGCCAGGAGCGTGGCGAGGACAGTGATGCCCAACATGCTGCTAGTGGGACCAGCTCAGGACCGAGTGGCTGTTGAGGCAGGTGGGGACTCACTTATAGGCAGGTGTGGGGGTGGGCCCACCTGCTCAAGGCTGAGCTGCCCCTTGGAAAGAAACCTGTTCTGACAAGGCCCTTTCCCTGACCTTGGGTGGTTATTGTTTAATTTGGGCAGGAGATGCGGTTGGCTCAGAGGCATGGCTCTCCCAAATCTCCTGAGACAGCAAATTCTGAGGCTTGCAGGTTTGGGGGATCCCCCACCTCTCTGCCTGGAGCCTGTTCTCATCCTATCTCCCTAACTCATTCTCTTTAGTTATCATCTATTGGGCATCGTGCCTGGTACTTCTAGTAGTCACCCAATTGTCCCAACAACACGAAGGAGATGCTTTTATCCGCTCAAGGAAGAGGAGGAAGCTGAGACTCAGAGGGTCAGCAACTGCCCAGGGTCACACAGTGGGGCAGCACCCGAGCCAGCGTCTGAAGTCAGGACTTCTGGCACCAGGCTGGGGTTCATCCTGCGGTGATACACTGTTTCCTTCTCTCTCTTCCTCTCTTCTTTCTCCCTCATTCGACTAATATTGTCTGGTCTTGGGGTACCCCCTGCCTTCCTGCCCCCGATGGAGGCTGAGGTCCAGGCAGCCCCTGGAAGGTGCCCAGGTGGCCAAATTCCTCCCCAGAGCCAGCCCACTTATGTCCCTGCAAAGTCCTCGTCTCCCTGTCTCTAAAATGGGTGCACAGGACCAGATGCATCCCAGGCTCCTGTCAGTCCCAAGGCTCCATGACTTGAATGCCAGGGTCAGGTGGCAGATCTGGGTTTGCGGTGGGGTTTGTGGTGGGTCCAAAGCTCTGCGTGTCCAGAATTTCCATCCAGAGCCCTGGCAGTTTGGGGTCGGCCTGTCTCTTGTAGGGCCTTGTAGTAAGCCATTTGAGCCAATGCCTGACTTTGGCCGGCCCGGTTAGATTCTGCTCTCCCTCCCCTTTCTATTCATCTGATGCTCCTTGGAAGTCGTTTTTTTTGAACTGAGCCCACTGCTCACCTTAGGAATTATTTCCTAAAGGCAATTCAGAAAACTCTGCACTCTGCTGTTAACAGTGGGTATCTGAGGGTAGGGAAGGATTCTAACTTATGTAATTTATACAGCTTAGATTCTTTTTAAAAACAAGCACGTATTACTTTGGTCATATAAAAATCAAGAAAGTTTTGATAAAAAGAGACATAAAGACAGGGAGTGTAAGGGTATGGTTAAGAGGGGGTCCCGCTGTGATGATCTCAAGCCCCAGGTCTGGGGTGTTGGGATCTCAGGCTGTGGGGAACTTTCTGTTGCATTCGAGGGGCCGGTCCTGACAGCAGGGTCAGTGGCTACTGCCGATCCACCTCAGACCCAGAGCAGCTGGTGGCCAAGCTCTGCAAAGGGTCTGCCTGGCCTGCAGACTAATGTTGGACACAGAGATGTGGACCGAGCTTCGTGGCAGGTCTTGGGGGCGACAGGGCTCGGGCAGCTGGAGAGAAGGCTCCTGGTTGCTATCTCACTTAGGGACCTGGATCTTGGGCAAGCTCTTTGGGCCTAAGTTTCCCTCTCTGTCTTTGTTAAGATTTTACTTATTTATTTGTCAGAGAGAGAGAGAGAGAGAGAGAGAGAGCACAAGCAGGGGGAGCAGCAGAGGGAGAGGGAGAAGCAGGCTCCCCCCTGAGCAGGGAGCCTGATGAGGGACTCCATCCCAGGACCCTGGGGTCATGACCTGAGCTGAAGGCAGACGCTTCACCGACTGAGCCACCCAGGCACCCATGGGCCTCAGTTTCTCTCGAGCAACCTGGGGAAATGATGAACTGGTCTTCTACGTGTGGAAGTTTGCTGGTTTCCACTCGGAGATACAGCAATCTCTTGGTGCCCACCTCAGTCCCGTGCACCTGCCCATAGCTGCACAAGCACACGGGGACTGGCAGACAGACAGACAGGCACGCACACCCACCCCTCCATATCCACAGACACGCACGTACCAGTGTCGTACGTAAGAAGTACCCACTTCTCTGTAACACGTGCAGAGCCATGTGCCCCACGTTCAAACCTGCACCCGAACATAGAGATAACCACAAATGCGCAGGCGCACAAGGAGTGAGGTCCCAGACGAAGAGTCGTTGATTTTTTCTTTTTCGGAATGTCCCCAGAGAAACCGACCTTTGTTTTTGGAGGCAAGTTGCTGGCTGCTTTGAAGGCGGAGACAGCATCAGCTTTAGGGGAACTTCCTGGTTTGGAGGCTTCACCAGGTGGGCCCTGGATGTAAGGCAGTACCAACAATGGCACTTGGGGAAAACCGAGGTCTCCTTCATCTGCCTCACATTCTGGAGACGGGCTGTCGCGGGCTTTGCCTCCTGTTGGGCCATACTCGTGAAGGAGGGAAAACCCAGAGCCATCGCTTCCTGGCTGTGTGACCTTGTGTTAATGACTCAAACTCTCTGTGCTTCTGTGCCCTCATCAGTAAAATGGGGGTAAAAAACGGTACTGCTTTTTACTGCAGGGAGTGCCTGGCACACGGCAAACTCCATGTAAGCGTTGGCTGCTCTTCTTGCTGTTGTCTGCTTCTTATGAGAAAGCCCTTGAGTCTGGACATCGCTGGGCCCTTTGGCCTTCATGGGCCCCTTCCTCCATCAAAAAATACCTAAAAAGCATGTTTTCTGACTGCATAGGTATAAAGACCAATAAAATCTAAGCTGGTATAATAGAATAGAAGCCCTGATTGTATTCTTTTCCTGCTGATTTTATAAGAAACTGAAAGATTTTCATGGGCCCGAAAGGTATTGTGGGCTCCACACTGCGGCCACAGTGTGGATGTCAGCCCTGGCCGTGACCCCTCCTTATGTCATGGTATGTGCGACTGAGTGACGAAGTGAGACTTTGGGGAATGTTCTGTGAATCACCGGAGCCTTCTCTGGGCCTCGGAGGTGCCTCTAGCTGTGCCTTGGGGGTGGCCAGGGAGAAAACTGTGTTCTCACTGGGAGCAACTGGGCAGAGGCGGGAGCTAGGGCCTGCCCCTGCTGACTTGGCCTTGATGTAGGGAGCCCTGGTCAGGGGATGCCCTTACTGCAGTGGTCCAAACTGCCTAAGTTACAGTGCTGATGTGTAGTTGCCTGACCTGATTTGCTGGCCTTGGTAGGTAATCAGAGCTAAAGAGACGCCTTGGGGTGGGGGTGGGGGTTGTGAATATCTGCAGAGGGGAGCCGCATGGAGTGGATTTCCTGGATTAACTTGTTTAAAGACTTGACTGTTTCGTTTGCCCAGTCTGTGGGGTGCTGACACACTGTGTACCAGAAGCCACCTATCCGTCCGTCCGTCCATCCATCCCTTCCTCCCTCCCACATTCGCCGAGCACCTGCCATGCATACCTTGTGCTCGAGCTGGAGCTGCAGAGGCGAGACCCTGCTCAGCACCGCGGGGGCTCCCTGCTGGGCAGGGCAGTAAGCGTCCCTCTGAGTGTTCCGGGCCCAAGGGCTGGGAGCCCTGAACGAGAAGAGGTTCGTTCGGGCTGGGAGCTCAGTGGGGTGTGGATTGAGAAAGGATTGCCTCTCGACACATTCCATGTCCAAAATGAACTCGAGGACTTGAGGGTGTGAGAATGCCGAGTCTCCATTCTCATCCCCTTGAACTCTGTGCTTCCTAGGACCCAGAGAGGGGCCTCCCAGGGCCTGGGCTGCAGAGTCTTCCAGACACTCAGGGCCAGATTCTCCCGGAAAAATAATCAAGGGTGAGTTGGCAGAGGCTGAGCTGCTGGAGGGGGGACCTCAGGAGAAGCGGTGCCAAGGTTGGGAGCGCAGCGTGGTGAGAGCCTGAGAAACAGGGCAGGTGCTCCTGACGGGGGCCCATAGTTTCTAATGGCTGGGGCAGGACTCTCAGGTGGCATCTGTTTCTCGGGTGAGGGGTGGGAGGGGGGAGAGGCCGAAAGTGTTTCTCCTTAGAACCAAATGGAAGTATTAGGGGTTCAGAGGAGGCCTGGGGGCTCGCTGAGGGGTTTCTGTGTTTGGCAATGGGGGCCCAGGGGATGGGACCTGGGAGGGGATCAAGGAACTATATACGTTCCCACTCTCAGGCCCTGAGTCACTCCGGGCCTCTTCATTTCGCAGCCTGATCCCCCTGTTGGGGTGCGGCTCTTGGGCAGGCCGAAGCTGAGGGCCCCCTCCCGGCTGAGACCTGTTGGTGTGGTGGAGGGTCCTGGCGTGGGACGGCTGGCTGGTCTCTCACATCCCGAGGGCCCGAGGCCCACATCCATCACGGGCCAGCTGGAAGGCGGGGCTCGAGAGCTTGAATTTTAGTCCTTCCCAGTCAGGGTCCTCTACCCCTTTGTTCTATAGACCTTCTGAGCTTGGATGTCAGGGGTTCTGATGTTCTTCCCTCGGGGAAGGGGCACCGAAAGACAGCGCTGAACCTAACATGCTGTGTTCATGACGGTGGCATCTTTGGCATTGGGCGGCTTGCGCCGGTGGCCTTCCCCGGGAAACCCACCCCAAGGACCGGCAGGTGAGGGAGCCTGGGTTGCTGCAGTACCAGCCACGTCCACCTGGGGGCAGCAATGCTCAGTCGAATCCCACACTCCCACACCCCAACTCAGGTTGCACCCCCTACCTGGAAACTGCAGGGCTGGGAAGACCCTAGAGACCTTAGCCCACCTTCACTTTGAACAGACCTGTGGGAGCCTGTGACCCAATAGGAGCTTGATCTGTTCAATGCCACATGGGGAGCACCCTGGATCTTTCATCATGCTACCACCCCAGCCTGTCTTGTGTGTGTGTGTGTGTGTGTGTGTGTGTGTGTGTGTGT